AGTTGCGATAGGTTGTGAGCTCCCGCGGCCCATATATGGGAAAGGTACTGGTGGTTTAACTTCAGAGTTAGCGCAATCGAGAGGGTTGGCTAACCGAGTGGGGTTCTGGATACGATGGTGATTATATAAAAAAGGTATGACGAACTGAAGCTAATTATGTAGGGTTTATGTGAAGTTGTGATAGGTTGTGAGCCACAAGCAAACCTCACGTGCTAATTGTCCCAAACGGGGTGATAGTCTGAGAATTGGTGAGAGCATGACGACGGACTATGAGTACCGCAAACTATGGTACAACTGTCATAAAGTTTTCTTTTCATGAGAGTTTGAAAAGGGAAAAAACGGTAATGTTTTCAAATTGTCTTCTTAAACCACTAGTACCTTCGAGCCTGTTTTTGCCAACCCTGAATTTCACTGCGCACCGAACGTTGCCGAACCTAGGTCCCATGGTGTTTTCTTTTATGATTCTCTTCGGAAATGGGAAAAAAAATAAAATAAAACAAATCAACTACCTCTAGGGACGTGAAAGCAGCCGGATGCAGATTTTGAGGTCATGTGAGAGTATGCACCTTCAACGGGCGTTACAGCTCTGCTGAAATCACGGCAGCAGAAACAAACAAAAGAAAAAAAGCAAAAATTCAGCAACAACTCTTTGGATGTGAAAGCAAATAGATATAGAATCTAGAGTACCTGTGACAATATGCCCTCCCAAAGGCCATTGCAGTCCTGCTATAATCACAACAACAGAAAAAAAATAAAGGAAAATAAAACAAAACAACAACAACACTTTGGACGCGAAAGCAACAGGATACAGAATCTGGAGTACGAGTGAGAATGCGCCCCCCGTTGCAAAGTGTCAGTTGCCCGTGGAATGCGCCTTGGCTCTCGTTGGCAGGGCACTAAACGCAGATCACCAAAAAAAGAAAACAAAACACATACAAAAAACAAAACTGGCTATGTTTCTGGGTAGATGCGTTCCTTTGAGTTCTGATGTCAGCACATCTCTTTCACGGCCTTCCTCGACGTCCTTTCTTGATTTCTTTTTTTTCTTTTTTTTCTTTTTTTGGGTAATGGGAAATACAACTGATGTCAAGCCTGTAGTACCCCCGAACTTTTCGGGGAAAACGGAAAAACGTCCATTTTTCCCTAATTTTCCAACACTTGCTGAGGTACTAGTGGTTTAAGTCCTTAAACCACCAGTACATGCCAAACATCAGTCGCAGGCCCTTTTGGAGGTTGCGTGTTGCTGATATATTTCATCAACGATATGCGAGGCTCGATCAGATTTTCAACTTGGCTCGGGCCATAAACTAGTGCTTTAAATTGCTAGTACCTTCGCTAGTGTTGGAAAAATAGGGCAATCAACAATTTTTCCAAACCCAAAAAAAAATAGAGGTTAAGTCCGACAACGGTTGTCATTGATATATCAGACCAGCGACCGTCGTTTCGTTTCGGCCTCCTGAAAGGTCGCATGTCTACCCAAGGCCTACTATTTTCTCTCTCGGCAAAGTTATTAGTGGTTTAAGTGACATAATAATTTTCCATTGTGTTTTTTTATTCACCCTCTCAATCCTTATGGTTTTAATTTGTTTTTATTTTGTCATAATTTATTAAGTAATTAAAGTCAGTGAATGGATAAATAAAATTTACATATCTTAGTGCATGTGAATTGTGATTTGGTTAATAATTATGATGTTATCCTCTCTCTCATCCCTTAATTTTGTATCATTGATTATTGCCGACAGTTCGCCATGTTTCCGTCATTCCGGAGGGTTGTCTGCCAAAGTGAGTTGCGAAAGAGAAGAGGGCTTTGTTTTGTCAAGGCATCATTATGGAGGGCAGTAAGCCTTCTGTAACGCAATGAATTAAAAAACAAATGTATTTTACCCTTAATTATTAGTGTTGGATTGAACTACAGGGTTTGCCATAAGGCAACTATGATATATGGATGACAAGGTGGTTTCACTGGTGGTGGGTTGACAAGGAGGACCCTGATGTGGGAGTGCACAGGTAAGAAATATTGATGAAACGTAAATGTTGCGGGTGTTAAACATGTTTTATGATTTATCTTTTTTTCAGTTTTACCAAACATGAAGCAGGGTGTGTTTTCTTGTCAATAAATTATTAAACATTAGTGACTTTCATAGCTATTTGTTGTTGTTGATATAACTAAATTTTATTGTGGTTGGTGATTTTAATTATACTCTTATTATTTTTTATACAATTAGTGTGGCGAGATTAAGATTATTGAGATTAAGTGTGGTTAATTCGTATGATTTGATGGTTGGTTTTGTCGAGTGCATGATTGGGTTTTTATTGTAATTAGAGGTTTCGATTTCAGGCTTGGGCGGTATGCTTCACCCATTATTAGAACAACCTACCTTTCGTGAGGGAAAACACGCATGTTCCTACTCAACGATAAAAAGTTGTTTTTTTTGGGGGGGGCGGGGGAGGAAAGGGGGGGGGGAATAACAAACTTCAACGAAGTATATTGTGAGTACTAAATGTCAAGATTCGAAGAATACAATTATAACAACCTCATGTTTGTGATAGTGCTTTCAACACATCTTTCGGGCACATGTTGATTGTGGTCTCATAAACGGATAACACCCTCAAGCTTCTTCTAATAATATAGCCATACCTTCAAGTTTCTCAAAAGTTTGTCCATAACAATGTAACACCAAAGCTTAAACAAGTCAGGTTCACTCAAAGAGATAAAACCAAGGTATTGTCGTACGACTTAAGGTTCATACAAAAAAATAAATAAAAAATAGTACACCCGAAAGTTATGCAAAATAATAAAATTTCCAAAACATTGAAGTAAGCAAGGGGGAGGGGAAGAGAGAAACAAAAAACATAATCAAATAATCAAGGGAAAAAAATAATTCAAGGACCAGTATCATTGTCATAATGATGCGAACAATCTAACCAGACTGGTCTCTCCCTTTCCCGTTATAATATTGACAACGAACTAACTCAGGGACCCATTCCAATTAACAATGGGGGATGGCAAAAAAACAAAGGTCTGGTACCTGAGTGGTCACCTTCTTTTTTTTTGCTCACCCAGCTATCATCTCACAAAGGGAGTTCATTCGAAGATAGATTTACACTACCGACCCTTAAAGGTCCAGGGTGACGGTTTAATATTTTTTATCATTTTTTTTTTTTTTCCATGCTTACCATAAGCAACTATACTGACGCCCCCCAATAATAGATGGGGCCAAGTATAGGGGGATGGAGGGAAAGATACCAGTTTCAATAATAATGCCTCTCCGGAACCTTACTTCGAATTCGTGAATTTCAGTTAATCAGATATTGTCGGTTTTCTACCGCAGCCTCCTTTTGGCTTTAGTTAGACAAAAATGCAAAATCATGGTCCACTTCAATAACAAAATCCGAACATTTTCTTAATTCCTCCTCATGATGATTTTAAAAGCATCGAACAAATGATTGTAGCGTATGGATTTTGATAGCACAACTTCAAAATTCTCAACCCCCCAAACTATCATCTGTCATCCTTAACGACAGGGTTTAGGGGTAGTATTTCTCAAATTTACACAAAATATTAGTATATAAATAGAGAGATCTACCACTACGCTTCCTATAAAAACAATCGTCTATTAGGTGGATACCTTGCCATGTAAGTTTATAAAAGTTAATTATGAGAAAATACATATAATGTAAGTCGTTAATAAACTTATGCCTACATAAGTTGAAACATAAAATACTTGCTTAAACCACCAATGCTTATAAGTTACTTTTTATCTGGGTTTGAAAATGCAATCCACGGAAAAAAAAACGCTGTGAAAGTCCTTAAGCTAACACCACCAACCATTTTTCTATTGAGATCAAGCCTCGAAAGTTGCACCGATATACAATCCACATTTATTTTCATAGCGCGAAAACATACAAGTGGTTTAAAAAATATATTTTATGTTTTTTCAACAGTCAAAGGTAGATTGAACAAAACAAATCATAGGATTTCAGCCCTAGTAAACCAACACAAGTCTATATCTTGCCCAAATATAGGTAAACTAACATCAACCTATGCACCTATATCTCGTAAATTTATCCAAACTTCACGATGATCCTTGCTTCCTTGTCAATCAATCAACTATTTAATTCCACGAATTATATTCTGATGGGGTTGTCATGGAAAACATATTTTATGATAAATTTATAGCATATATTGCACCCACCAGGGTTACCTGACGGAACGTTCGGGGGCCCCCGGGCTGGCCCCCGAACGTTCCGGCGCTCGGGGTCCCGTTCGGGGGCCGAACATCTCCAGGTTCGGCCCCTGCCAAAAAACATTTTGGGGCCTAAAAATAAGTTTTCGTTTTTGAAATTGTTTTTTTGAGTTCTCTATGATGTAACCTACACGCCTATAATTTTTGAAGCCATTATGCTAAGCCAAAAAAACACTAAAAATCATCAAAGATGGGGGTGTCAAAACGTGCTCGCCCACTCACTATTTTGTTGTTTTTCACTCTTAACTTTTTGTTTTCACTTTATTTCGTGGCCTAAAAAAAATTATTATTTAAAAAAAAAAAAAAAATGAGTTATTGATTATGTAAACTACATATCTGTAAATGTTCAGGGAATTTGTCAATTCAAAAAAAAAAAAAAAATCGACAAAGATGGCGGTGTCGAAAAGGTAATGACACAGTCACTCGTTTTATTTCTTTTTTTATTTTTTCTTATTTTTATCATAGTGTTTATTTTATGTATTTGATTTTTAATTCAAATTTAGTCAAGAATTTGGATGTAGTTCTAAGGCAAATGTTTAGTTTATTGTTTTCCATAACATATTGTTTTTTCGAAATTTTTTAAAAACTGTTTTTTGTTTTTTTTGTCCGCATTCGGCCCGAACGACCGAACGCCTTTCGAAGGGGTCCCGTACGTTCGGGCGTTCGGGTTTGGGCGTTCGGCCCGTCCCGAACGTCGGCAACCCTGGCACCCACTACTATTGTTCGTTACCCTTTTTTTTCACGTATTTTATTAACGCCATTGAGTTAAACCTCTAGGTTTTTGAATGACCTAAGGTTAATGCAACAACTATCTTACATGAAATTAAATGAGCAATTAAGCCCTTTGACCACCCTTTAGCCTCCCGAAGTGTTAGACCATAAAACATATCATGTCCACATTTGGCTTGCCGGCTCTTTGTTCACCCATTCGCCGATTCGGTTGAGTCGTAATGTTTGATATTCAATTTTTTATTTTTTTTTTAAATACAGTATTATAAAAATTATGCGGGAGTCACAAAACCGAGTTATAATTGTACTATCGGTCAATGGCTAATATACAGTTTCGAATTGCAGTTCAAGCAATGTATAAAACCCAACTTTATGGGCAGGTAGGATGCCTGAAGTGCAATTGTAAACTTTATTTTTTCCAATATTACAATTCTAAATTGTTTTTTGTTACGCTACTTACGTTCCCCCTACAATATTCAATATGATCCTATGTCATGTAACAATTGCTATATGCGAACAAGTATTGTATAACTTCATGATAAACTCTAGGAGACGTGATTGTAGTCTCAACATAATTTTGACTAACTAAAGTAGGCATCAACCCAACATCCATTTTCTTACACAAAATAAATCCTCTATTGATAAATCACCCGAACAATATTTAAAGTGATTAAAAACTCAGTCAAATATAAACTTACCATAGACCTTGATGACAAAGTACGAGTTCGCTACGACATCTTTCAGTTC